GCATATATTTAAATATTCGGATTTTAAAAAATGAAGATTTTATAATATATATACAGGATGGTCCTTAATTATATATATTAATGCTTCATAAATCGAATCTAGAGCTCAAAACGTTTTAAAAATAAACATGCGTATATTGTATAACATGAAAATTTGTTGAAATTAACCCTTACCGTACCATGTATAATTTGGTACCTCATCCATACTATCAAGGGTCACTAGAATCTCTTCGTTTTTTTCACCTCTTCAAAATAATTCAAAAAATGTCTAAAAATTTATCAACATACTTTCAACTTTCTAGAATAAATATTGACTCTTTATTTTGGAAAATAATAAAATGTATATATAATTTATAATTACCGAAAGACTCAAAGAAACTTTCACGAACAGGAATCGCTCGGTCACTAGTTACCTATATTGGTAAGGGTAAATTATAACTCAGAAAATGTCATCTATATATATTGTATATGATCTACATTGATATGACATATTTCTCTGAACTTTAGATTCACCTCTTAAGAAATAATCAAGAATCATCCCTGTATGAGAACAAATATATATAATTATATAAAATAGCTATAACGTATAATATAACAGAAAAGACGAAGGACAATTTTGTATCTCTTGAATATCGTGGCCTTCAAAGATCTTGTTCCCCAAACTACGTATTCTCGGATAGTGCCAACGGACCGGAGGCCAGAGTTCACCATGGGAACTGGATCCACCGACCTTTCCTTACTGTACATATCCGTCTGAATCGCTGTATTCCGGTGGTCTCGGCGCTATGGGAATCCAGAGTAATAACACCGCCGCAGATCAACTACAGTTCCAAACGCAGCTGTTGGAAAGGCTGCACAACCTAAGCCCGTTTCAGCCTCAGAGATCGCCCTATAATACACCGTCGCCATATGCGATGGGCCCAAGTCTACTTCTACCTCCGTGCAGCGGACCAACGGTGAGTATTCCTTGTCACAAGGCTAAATTTACATATAAGTGTTTTAATTTTAAAACATAAATAAATCGTAAACATAGTCAATCTATCAAAAACCACAATGGTTTTTGTACTATCCATAATGAATAATTAGTATATAAAATTTTCTTTATTTTTTCATCATATATTTTTAATTTAATGTTATTTCTAGAAAGAAACAAATCTCACGTAACACTTAACAAATTAATTTATTATTATAATTAACGCTAAAAACATTAAAAATCCTGCTTCATTAATTTTCAAAAAGCATCTCCTTCACAACTTTTCAGAATTCAGCTCAGCTGTCGCCAAATTCTGCGTCCTTGCGAGTCTCTCAACCAAACAGTTTCTCCTCGTCTCCGATCATGACTCACAAGCTCGAAAACTATGGGACGGATAATTCAGACAACGCTTTCATAAAGCCTTTACCATGCACCAACGATAAAAACATGGCTCATACGTCGGCCGACGTTAAAGTTAAGCAAGAACGCTTGGATCCTTCCGAAATACCTCCTATAATTCTGGATCCTCCACCACAAGGCAAACGCACGGACAGTATGGTCAAGAAAACGAGCACGAAGCAAAGTTCGATAGTTCAAGGCACGCAGGACAATAAGAATAATTTGCAGAATCCGAGAGGTTTGGCGACTATCTTGCGATCCACAGGTCCGCCCCCTTCTCGCACAACGAGTGCTCGATTACCCTCTCGCAACGACTTGATGAGCGAAATGCAGCGAACGACCTGGGCTCGCCACACCACCAAATAACGGGACAATGTCCAACCTACAATAATGCGAATCTGCGTAATCTTTAATACCGAGAAACAAAGTTGACCATTTCGTTAGAATTCGAAGAAAATACATATCCAAATATATCTTATTAGTCACGAATCAAGAGAAAAGTTACGCGTGGCTTGACTTAACGGACGACAGGGTTTGCATTTTCTTCTCGATCGCTCAAAGTCAAATTCTTCATATTTAGAGATTTCTAAGATGTATAGTATATGATTTTTCGATACGTTAAATTGGAGTGTAGAAAAATTATCAAACGAAATGTCAAGTGAAAATTTGTTGCCAATAAGAATTTTGAGAATATCTTTTACAAAGATTTGCTAGAACTCCAGATCATTCAGTACAGAGTCAATAAATCATTATAGTATAGTAATATTCCTATGACGAACGTGGAATCGCGATTTTCAACAGATTGTACATTCGTTTGTATCCTACGAGTTACGTCCGTGGAATGTTTGTAAACAATAAAACGGGTCGCGTTCGGACGAATATAGTGGATATATACTTCACGCACGTCTCGCGTGTCCGAAGAGACGGATTGTAATACGTAATTCGTACATTTATTCGTATCGTGACATTTACAATGTATTCCCATGTATAAAAAGTCGCCATTTAGCGGACGAACTTGTGCCAAAAGTACCAATCGTCTTAAGAGAGTTTATTTTCGGTATATTTTTAAGTAATGTAAAAATAAAGATAAGCGTGATCACAGAGTTGCGACAATTATATCCTTCCTAGCCTTATCCTTGTATCGCAGATTCGCTATTATATAATTAGCTTACGTGAGCAAAGTTTTAAATTAATTTAAGACCCTGCATTAAAAAAAAAAGTTATTAGACACAGTAATATTGTATTAAAGGGATTTTTAATTTTACTTATTTTTATAATTAATTGTTTCCTTCTCCTTCATCAGCCCTTGGCCTTGCCCTTGGCTTATAGCACTGAACAATTACATTCGTGATATGATTTAATATTCCTGAGTAAAATAACTCAAATTGTATGTCGCGTGTCAGCGGATAAAACGTTCGTTAATCCGATAAAAAACGAAATGCGTGTTGGGGCGGCTTTTAGCATGCATACGTTAATGGCGTGACAACATTCGTTATTGCGAATATGCTGATAGCTATTCAAGTTTCAGCAGACAGTATGTCGGCAGATCGTTACAAGTGACGGATCAGATCATTTCTAAAGAATAAGTATCTTAAATCAAGTATCTTTTTTACTCTTAATAATCTTGTCGCGCGTAAATTACTGTGCGTTGCGTACATTGATTGATATAGTGCCAATCAAACACTTCTTATTGTCAGCAGTTTTTTTTCAGTTTTTCTATACGCATGCGATCTGAAATTACATTACGTTACTTAACGCATTTTTTTGCATGCAGAAAATATCGCGTGTACTATTAATATCTCTCGGAAAATATAATTAATTAGAAATATTATCATTTGTGGCGTACGTATGCAAGTTGACTCAACTCAGTCGATGGACCAGACAAGAATTCCTGGTATTCTAAGACTAGACAAAATGTCACGCTTTTCTGGATTTAGAACCACGTCTCATCGGACATTGGCTATGCAGGTATTCCAATTTACTAAGAATTTCATTTATATCTTTTCTTCCTTTCGCGATTATTTCAGAAAAATAAAACTAAACAATATATTTTTAACTGTGCATTGATTGTTTCCTTTGATTTTATTAGAACTGTCGACTTATATTTGAATCGTTATTAAATTTTTCTAAATCCTAAAGAGGATACACAGATATAAATAAATAGATAGAATATATCGAGGATATTTTCCATAATTAGAACTGCAAGAACATAGTCGGTTGCTCAGGCATTATAACGGAAACAAATTGGTTAAAAATAAAATATCTTCTTACTATCTATGGTCTCGGTTCTTTCATTTTTCACATCTCGTATTATCATTATTCCTTCCCCCCTCCCCTTCACATTGTTTTTAAACAATTTCATAAATTAGAGCACAGACTAATTTACAATCGATCGCCGAAGCTCACGAGCATTAACGAAAATTACGTCGGACAATGCGCAGTATGGGAATGATTTTCGTGGGATCGCGTGTTGCACGGTATAACGATAGTAATAATTCCTCTCGAGGAAAGTGATTACTTGCGAAGCAGAAGGGTGGAGTTGTACAAAGAACGAAAAATGTACGACGATGGCTATTAACAGTATTAACGTGATTCGAACTCTCTCGGTTCTTGCCATTTTTGCAGACAGTGAATATTTTCTTCGACATAAACTGCCTAAAATTGCAAGACAACATCTCAGACAGCACACAATATTTAGAAAATATTTAGAAAATATTTATAAATATTTATAAGATTTATTTTAAATATTTTGTAAATATTTTTATGGTCTTAGATTGCATAAATCATAAACATTTATTATAAATATTATGAAATATTTATTGTAAATGTTATAGTAAATATTATGAAAATACTTAATGAGACATTATAATCCAAGTAAAAAATACTTAGAAGATACAAATCACCGATTCATACGGAAAGAAAAATTAACTTATATCTTCGAAACTTTGTGTGTCTCAAATAATATAAAATAAAAATATATCTTAAATAAGATGCATGTTTTAATTATACAGAAAATCGTGATTTTTGTCATGAAACTTACGATGGTACGTACAATTATCACAGACACGTTGATTCCTATTGATCAATGTAGGATGTCCCGGGGTGTGTCACATCGCGTGTGACCTCGAATTAACGATTATCTGCAGACACGTGGATGAAAGGATTCAAGTCCTGTCGTGTCAAAAAGAAACCGAGACAACGAAAGAGAAGATGTAATCGCATAGAATCCATTTGAAATTAAAATTCAGTAATATTTCAACAAATTTCTGTGCTTGCATAAAAAAATCTTGACTCATATAAAATCTTCGTTATAAACGAAGGATTGTAAAAAATCAGATTAAATACTTCTCTTTGACTGAGCCATTTATTTAATCTTTCTATCTCTGTCATTACGTAATTAATAAAGGAATTTCTCGATTTCGCTCTCAAACCGCAGTGATTTTTGAAGTGATTTTTACGTAAATGAGTTTCAACGATCTTTCCGGGTCACTGAGCTTTTCATTACTCGCGTGACTCAGGGAGATCTATGATCGTTTTCGACAGTAATTGGTATCTTTTGCCGTTCGTACGTAGGTGGGTCCGTCGTCATCCCCGTCGCAGTCGCAACCGTCGGTCAGTCGACAGTCGGTTACGTTTAGTATTGTTGAATGCCAACGGAACGAGGGTCTTGTTGAGAAAGATCAAAACGAACGCATGAACACGAGATTTCACGACGACATGCAGCGCATCTCTATCGCCGGTTAGTGAAGATAATTTTCTCTTAACGAAGAAACGCCAAGGCATATCAATAGTCTTTAAGTGACATGCGATTGAGGGTGGAGAACTCTGTCAAATTTCTTTGAGTCTATTTCGCGTTTAACTTATGGCAATTTTATATGATCCGAGAAACGACATCCAAGCGAGCAAGTCCGAGCGGAACCTCACCGGCTCCAATGAAGAAGTCAACCACGAACGGCAAGGAAAATGACAACGAGGATGATTACTCGGCGTCAGTTTGCGCGATTATGCAACAGCGAAATTCGACACGACGACAAAGTCGGCGGAAACGACGTCCGTCGTCGCCGTTCGGCGTCGACAACGTCGACGGCGTCGCGCGCCGTCGGTCCTCGGTTTACACCACGAGCTCGGGAGAGTTAGTATTTGCGACTTTCAAAAAGCTAGAGTGAACTCAAGTCCATTATTTGTGATATCTTTACTTCATCGTAGAAATTGCGAGTTAGAAATAAATTAATTGTTTAATTAAAATAAAGCGGTATTTAGATCTCGCAGATTGTATGAAGTTTATTCGCGCTCTAGTTCCTCATTTAGAAACTGATAAGCTTCTTCACACTGTTAACAACATTGTAGCAAGAAAAATGCGAGTAGCATTTCACACTGAATATTATATGCAAAATTTTATAGGCCTTATTTATCATTTAGATATAATATTCTAAAATACCTAGTTTCTTTATATAACTTTGAAGTTTATCTATACATTTTACACTAAAAAGATAAATATAAAAAAGAAACATAATAATAATTAACAACAAGAAGTTACTCCTATCAAAGTCGTATAAAAAGATATTTTCCAAATAATGACATTAGAAGATTCATTTATTTTATGATTACTTTATTATAATATGTTTTTTTTACCAATCTCTTACCGAAATTCTATCTCGATTACCGAATTGCTACAATGACTAGCACAACGCTTAAGTTAGTCATTAATTGAAGTCTTGGATTATAATAATAGCACGATAATTACGATGGAAGAAAGCAGTAATCAGGAGCAGATTTTTGAGAATGTCAGTGTGCACAAAGAAGTTCTAAGTGCTATAAAGCAACAACCTTGGCCTCTCCGACGAAAGATCAAGCTCGTACGGCAAGCTAAAGCTTATATCAGACGACACGAAGGCGCTCTGCAGGAAAGACTCGCTCAAAGTCGCAACACTAAAGACATCATAGCACGCGTATCGCTTTTCATGACTAAGGTAGCGATTATATTATCGTAAAAATTATAAAATTTTAAGTAACATATTATTTAAGTAAAATATTGATAGCAGCAAGGATCGTTACTGTTTTTCATCTATTTAGAAGTGGCAGTATTTCCGACGTGAGCTGGTCAATCTGCAAACGTGGCTCATACCCTGGGAGGTTCGTATCATGGAAATAGAATCCCATTTTGGTTCCGCTGTTGCATCCTACTTCATTTTTCTCCGTTGGCTCTTCTGGATCAACCTCGTTATCGCAACAACTCTTACGGCGTTCGTTGCGATACCTGAAGTAAGATAATTCTAGTTAGTAAAAATGACATTTTTGCTTTCAGGACAGTTCACATCAGTAGCTGTATTGAAAAGATACTTAACTTTTTTTAATTCTTCGTCAGGTGTTGACTGCAAACGCGACTCTTGCCGGCGAGAGAAAGATCATGCTGCAGGAAGAGGCTATCAAGTCGAAGGATTTGTTAACTTTATGGGAATTCGAGGGTGTGCTAAAATATTCCCCATTTTTCTACGGATGGTACACCAATCAGGACTCGAACAGCAATTACAGATTACCATTGGCGTACTTCGTCACTAATCTGGTCGTGTACATATACAGCTTCGTCGCAATTCTGCGCAAGTACCGGCTATGCTCTCTTCGTGTTGTTGAATCTCATATTATAGCGTCTTTTACTTTTAATTGACAGTGGCATTTTTTCAACATCTTTAGATAAAGTTAAGTTTAGTTAGATAAAGTTAAAAAAATTCTAACTTTAAACAAAGTTAAAAAAATTGACACGTAGTGTCTAAGGAACATACTTTACATTATTTCTTGAAGAAAGATGTGCTGCGAGCGTTCATTAAACAGAATTATATGTTATAAAATTATCTCTCGTTACTTCCGGAATTATTCCCATATGATATATTAAAAAATGACAAGGCAAGCACGTGAATACCTTGTTCCAGAATGGCAAAGAACTCGCGTTTGAGTAAACTGACCGAAAAGGAAGACGAATATGTCTTTTCGTGGAAACTCTTCACGGGATGGGACTTCATGATTGGTAATCCGGAAACCGCGCACAATCGTACAGCTAGCATTATGGTGGGTTTCAAAGAGGCCTTACTGGAAGAAGCAGAAAAGCAAAAGGACAAGAGAAAGTGAGTTCTATACTTATATCTTAACATTAGATAAACATTATGCAACCACAACTGTTCTTCTTTAAATTTTTGGTTTTACATATTCTTATATATGTATTGCTTGCTCTGATCGGAAATTATGATGCAGAGATTATCCTCCCTGCTTAAAATTTTCTATAAAAAACTATAGGAACATATGGAATTTGTATAGGTTTTTATAGTTTTCAATTGTTTTTATAGTAGCGCACGAGAAGGACTACAGAAACTCTACAGTTATCAATAAGATTCTATGAGTATAATTTTCTATAGTGTTTTACCTATTTAATTCTTATCAATTTTAATGGTGTTTCATATACAGTACCGATCTATAGGCGTTTATGGTTTTCTAACTATGAAAGTCGAAATGTTCTTTATGGGAAACAACTTATGGCCGTTAGTTGGCCAATGTGTTTCAATAGATTTTCTTTTATAAGTTTTTATGGTGAATTTACTAGAGGCTGTTAATACTGTTCTATGTGGAATTGCATTCATCAAGTGGTCTATCGGTAATAATAGGAAATACCCTACCGTATAGTAGGGGAGGCCGAGAGGCTAAATGTGGATTTACTCAAGCGTCGTGGGGACCTATTGGATTGTGAAGATTAGATGCTAAAAAGAAAAAAAGGTTATATGATGTATGCCGTTTCAGTGGTGGGGGGAGCGTGTACAGGCTTTACGGCGTGTACAGGCGTGTACAGTACTCGAGAGTGTCAGATATTAATAGTGTAAGCGACCCATGTGTTTCTGATAACGGATAAATATTAATCTGACGGTTTGCGTGGTGGGGTTAGCTGTAGGAAGGGATCAAAAAATTCATGTCACGTTTTTTTTTTGCAACTTTGTGACTCTCCCATTTCCTTACGTCACGCTGAAATCGTCAGATTATTGAAATGTACACTTTTCTACATGTAATTAACACACCATACCTTAATCTGACGCGCTCGAGTTAGATACTAATTTGACGGGCTCCCCTGGACCCCCGGCTCTATATAGAGGTTTAATATGTGGTGGGGGTACTTATTAGGGTGCAAGCTTTCCCCCTTTATGTTATTCTGACGCGCTCGAGTAAATCCCAAAATCCCCGCTTGGACTCCCCTACTATAGTAATGATTATAGTTTTTAATAGTTTTTTAATTTCTTGAAAATAAAATTATGGTAGGTAATTATTTAGAAGACGCCCCTTACCTTCAACTCACGAAAGAATCCTGTAGTAAAATGTGCCTAGTCTCGCGAATCGAGATATTAAGCGTTAAAGTTGACTATTATATTGAGGTTAGGAAATCTGTCACATCGACTTAATGCAGCACTATCCTACGTATTTTAGTTGATACTTCTTTAGATAATTCTATCGTTTCATGCAAAAACGCGTCGAATGAGCATAATTTCATTGAAATTCAAGATGAGGAGCGTCTTCTAAATAATTACCTAAATTAATTTATACGAGAAATCGAATAAGAGTCGAATTCTGAATTGTTTACACATGCGTGCGATTTTATCTCAGAATTAGCGTGTAAGATTATCATCCTATAGGTCCTAGGCTCTTAGGTTCGAATCCCGCCGAAACTCGAATCCGTGCGTTTTCAGAAATATGTACATGCGTATAAATGTTTAGCGTATCTCAAACATGATGAATATATGATGTTAACATGAGAAAAAAAGTATTTGATTTTTTATTTCTTATATTTACATCATATTTGCATTTCGGTATTTAATAGGTATTAATCGGAGTGGAATCCCTATTTGGAAACTACTGAAAACTATACATTACTTCACATAGAAAACCATTAGGGCTAAGGAGATTTACCGATTCAAATCGCTCATTAAAAACTATAGAACTTTTTTCTATAGTTCTCTATAGTAAATTTTAAGCAGGGCTTCTATTTTTCTAGAAAAGATTATGATTAAGGAATGTACACTGAAAAAAGAAGTGTTCACTCTTTTAAGATATTAAAATGTTTTATTCTTGTCTCCATTTTCTAAACACTTAAAGATGTTTTAGTTTTAAACTTTTTCAATAGACAAAACTATATGTATATGTGTAATCACTATGCGTTTTGAATCCAAACACATAATATTTTGTTTATTAAAATAGTTAAAGATGCAATTTTATGCAGCGAAAGAAAGCTGGCTTTTTACTCCCACTTCGCTACAATCAAAGCAACGTTCAAAAGCTGTTCGCTCTTCTTTTGCTTCTTTTTCTCATGAAGCATATCTTCGCTGGCTTTAAGAGAGAGTTAACGAATACATTTATTTATTTTCGCTAGCTTTTAATTCATTTCAATAAAAATAGATTACGAAAATGAGAATAAGTAATTTCTGATTCAATTCAACTTACTTTTAATTCTGCCAACAGTCACGAGAGAGAACTCGAACTTGGTTTATAATTATTATATTTCTACACTCATCCATTCACTCTCATTCATCCACTCCTGCACTCTCTCTACTCGTAACTTAGCTTTTTCCTTTCCTTCTTTTACTTTCCGCTCATCTTCTTAATTACACCTGAATCGCGCTCATCGCTCATAATCTCTTTTATATATTTAGTCTATTTTCTATTATACTTCTTATCCTACACTCATATCTCATATTACACTCAACAAGAGTTATTTGTAATTTTTTATTTCAAGTAATAATTTTCTAGATATAAAGATTTAACCCTAGATGATCACTGGGGGTCACTTTGATCCCACCAAAAGTATGGACTAAATTTTCACCAACTTGAATTTCGAAATAACGCCTGACACTCCATCTACCAGTAGTTTGAGTCTCTATAAACTACATTACCATACGGTTGGCATGGCATAAAACGCGTTAGTGAAACGCGTAAAAATTATTTTTTTTTAATCATTCCAATCAATCTTTAAAATAAATACCTTTTTTTGAAACGCCCACTATTGCAATAATTTTTTTTATCGAAGTGCAGCATCTGAAGACTTTATTCCTAAAATTTTACGCAAAAATATGAAGAAATAAAAAAGTTATGATTTTTTAATAAAAAGTCATTTTTCACGTAGACTTTCATTCATGAATTTTTTTGACTATTCTAAATTATTAATTCAGCAAAAAACCAATGCGAATACATATTTTAACGTTCAAAGAATGTCCCTAATTTTTTTTGACCATACCTATGAAAATAAAGCTGTGGCAGCCATTTAAATGTACTAGGGTCATGTTGACCCCGTATGATCATTACGTAATTTTCGTGAAGTGTGATGATTTAGGGTTAAATATGGCCAGTTACAGACTACGTTTAGGCGATCACCTGTAAGTCTTATGAAATTAAAGGTCATCAATGCTAACACATGTCGTATGTGGTTCATGAACAGGTATATACCTTGGGTGTGTTCCCGATATACACTGCCAATACTGGCAGTACTGAAAAATTGTTCCGCTATTACTACAGTGCGCTGTGACAACGACGGCTGTGTTCCAAAATTGACTATCAGTACTAAAAATTTATAGTGCATGTAACGTAAACTGTAGCATTTTCAGTGCTGGCAGTAAATTTGGAACACAGCCGACGTCTAGTTCCCTCAATGACATCATAAATGATAGCCATTGCCACTGCGACTACTGCGGCTTTCGAGGTGAAGCAGTTACAGTGCAATATGGCATCACTTAAAGAAGCACAACGCGTCGAAATATTCGATCCAGGAAATAAAAAAATATATACATTATATTTAATTGCAGAAGATACATATATATTCATTTTATCGAAAATGACTCTTAAATTCCACATCTGAATATTTATTAACTCTGTGTCCATACAGTTTTTAACACGAGGTCAAACTGCTTGAATTGGTGATCTCATAATTAGTTCATCTTCTTCGGAAGAACTATCGCTGCTGTTTTCGTTCAAAATTTATTGACAATTTAGTACGTTTATCCATGTCTGTTTACACTGCCATTCTACTGCAAAGCCGTTCCGAAATACGACGTTACAATAGTGCTGGCAGTACCACAATAATTTTGGAACGGCTGCGGCAGTGCACTGTTGCGACGTCATGATGGTCGCACTGCCAGTAAAAAGGGAAGACACCCCTTGTATAAACAAATCGAGTAAGCACAATAAAAATTACAAAATATTGTAAACGTTGTGGGATTCTCTAAACGACAATTGTCGCTATCGTTAACTAACGATAACCAATGAGAGCCGTGCTTTCTTCCAGAATTGTCCTGCCATTAGCTGTCGCTAGTTAACGATAGCGACCATCATCAATAAGACGTTTAGAGAATCCCGCTACAGAGCTGTCCAAGGTTGGGATTTTTTCGCCTGAAATTGAAATGTGTAAGTATTCACATTCACGCCTATTATCTTCCCAGACAGCCATCTACGTTCTGACAACGTTAGAACGATATCGCAAACGTATGTTGAATACGTCGTCAAGATATTCGAGACGCGTCTGTGATGTACAGAATATTTCTTCAGAATCTACTATGTCCGCGGTTTCTTATCCCGTAGACTTCGCAGAGAGCTCCCAGTGATATACCGTATATAGTTATTCTGAGATGTATGAGTATGTCTTCAATGCGTCTCCAGTACGTCTATAGTATTCGCGTTATCATAGTGATGTCTCTAGTATGTCATGTATGCATGCACATACATACACACATACATATACATATATATAATTTTACGCACATGCTTGCATGCTGAACGAATTAAGTATTTGCACAGTGCAGTTGCTACTTTAAAATAGTAAATATTTTCAAAGAATCAAAATTCTTTAAAAATACTTCCTATTTTATAGTAACAACTACATTGTGCAAATAATTATAATTCATTCAGCTCGATTCACTATGCTCGTACTTAATCTCGTGGCTCACACGCCTGCACACCATGACACCTTCTTCTTCTTTTTCTTCAAAATTGATGGCACTCGCCGCAAAAATGGCGACGATTCCGGCCAGAATCGTAAATAAATCATGTAACCAAAGTATGATACATCGGTCACCTCAAACCGGTAAATGGGACGAAATAATGATGTAATCAAGACAAATAATGTAACACAATGCATAGTCGAAGCCGGAACACTTTTCAAAAAAGTCTTGGGTATAATCGATATGATAGCAGTATATTCAGCATCAAAATCAAAATTTAGTTATTATATTTGATATATCTTGACAATATACAAGAAATAATATTTTTCTGAGATGTTACATTAACATTTCTGGTTTATTTGGTATAATCACAGTACATTCAGTATGAATATTGAATATTAGCATGATATCATGTGCTGTCTGGGTTCCTACTCCTCACTTCATTGCTGTTTTGTCATAGCGTGCGATGCTTGGTACCAAGAAGGACACTAGTCTGAAATCGTTAAGAGTTTTTGACCTGTGTCTTTCACTATCCCTATAGGCACATAATATTATTTAATATTAAGGAATATTTTAAGTATATTCTCAGCATATTAAATTACATTTAACATACTATAGAGTATGTTTGATATTATTCTGCTACTAATATTATAAGATACTATTATTCATATTTTTATAGTTAAATATATTATGAATAATTGTATCTTATAATATTAGTAACACAATACTTTTAAACATAGTGAAAGACACAGGTCAAAAATTATAACGATTTCAACAAGTGTTGTCCCTGAGACTGGGCGTTGCGCGCTCCAACAAAACAGCAATGAAGTGAGGAGTAGGAACGTTAAGGTGTGAATACCGACACATTTCGATTTCAAGCTAAAAAACTTCGATCTAGGACAGCTCTGTTGTAGACACACACACACGCGCGCGCGCGCGCGCGCGCACACACACACACACACACAATACAAAAACTATATTATATTTATTACCTCATTAGAAAAGGTTGGACATTTATGTTATTAAAAATAAAACGCAATTAATCTATAAATGACTCTAATCTTATCTATTTAACAAAATAGCGATAATGCCGTGTATTGATATAAACACACCCAAAAAAAAAAAAAAATGTTCTGCCGATAAGCGGGAAATTCCTCTTAGCATTTCCTCTAAGCAAAAATTCTTACATTAATCTTATATTAATCAGGCGAGTATTTATAACAGCGAGTATTTATAACACGTATTCATCTATAAAAATTAGATATAAGCTATGATCAAAAATAAATTCCTCTATAGAAAATTCTATTATAATAACTCAAATGGCCTTTTGAAATAAGAGGATATACAAAATACTAGCGGCATGCTTATTTGTTAGAAGAAGTTTGTCATTTACAATCATGCATATCAGTATATGTAAGACATTCTTCTAGTATTGAGAGGATTGCAATCCTAAATCCAGTACTTTATGGTTATACAAAATTTCTTTACTTTGTAGAGTTTTCTTTTAAGGTCATATATAAATGGAAAATCCTCTGATATTAGCGCGGAATCGCTAAATGGCAGAATATTTTTTTTGGATAAGTGGAATGACAAAGAGCATCGTCGTTTCAAGGAGAGAGATTTTTTTAAAGCGTCCATAACTGCATTTTCGATATATATCAGGAGACGCAGTTTTACCTGTTTACCATTAATTTTTAAAGACTCTTTTCTAATTGTGTTTATGGATTGAAAAGTCCTTCTCCACCATTAAAGTATGGACAACAACACAGGCTGCCAGCTACAATTTAATACGAAAAATGGAAGAAAATTAAAAATTGTAGTTTTGTCACCGGCTCCTGCAGTCAACTCGTCACAATATGTGCTGCATATAAGAGTTTCAGATTTTACCCGGTTAAAATAAGTAGCCAGCAGCCTACAGAAAACCTCGAAGAACAATCCTATACTTTTAGAAACGAGGTAGGGGCTTTAGTATAAAGTGGGGAGCACAGACTCTTGCATAACGCATAACACGTAATGCATAAAAATATGTACCAATCGAAGTTCTCCGTTTCTTTCCCTTCCATGTAATAGAGAACTCTGGTTGGTTCAATTTCTTATGCCTCATGTGTTATGCGTTATGCAAGAGTCTGTGCTCCCCGCTTTAGAGAAAAGAGTCGCCGAAAATTCCGTTTGTATATTACGAATGAAATTGACGTAAAGCCATGAAACCGAGCAGTATTTTAGTTGATCTCTTTCTAAGAGATGGCGTTACAATATGCCAGATAAAGACAGATGAATGCGTTTGAGCGAGACACAACGATATATAATAAGTATATGAAATGAATGAAAGATGTCACTATTATCGTATTTGGAATTTAAAGAAGTCTGTACTATCGATCTTGATTAAGTTCGACCGTCACTCCAGCATCCCCTTAAGGGAATCCTAAAGCTCGAACTCCGACGAAATCACTAGATGTCACGCCGCGCGCCGCACATCTAGAGTCCCTATAATGAGAGTCAAGACATAAGACCGGAAGGACGCCATTGCTGGGCGCCGGCCGGAAACAACACAAATGACACGTGACACAAATAGACGCGTTCGCGCCTGTTTGTACTACTACACCATGAAACAATTGCTCACACCAATTCACAGATTCACTAACACATCGAAAGCGCCTAGAAATGGCGGCGACCAATCACGAGGGCGTCGCCCCTTATGTTTTGACTCTCATTATAGGGACTCTACACACATCGCATGTCTTTTTATACTACGACAGCAATATCTCACGCAACTATTAGCGTTTTCGATTGGGCAAAAGTTAGTGCGCACCAGTGCGCACTCAGTTCACACCAACACTGGACGAGTTCCATGGGTTGCACTGAATAGTGCAAGTTCAAAAGAATACACCAAGATTTTCAGTGCTAAAGCTGAAACTCATTTTTGTTCACTTTGAAGCAATGTTCAACAAAATGTTACAAAACCATAGTAAAAGATATTAAGAGTAGGGACAAGACCCCGTTTTCAATTCAACTGCGCAGATTTGCTTGTCCCTATGTATATCCTTAACTGTGATAAAACGTGCACTGAACTGGCATCGTCAAAATATCTCGTGCCACTTAGTGCGCACTGAGTGCGCACTACGCGAGTGTCGTGCGATCAAATGAACACGTGACACTAGCCAAGTGCGCATTGGCACTGCCAATCGAACACGCTCTTGACACTGAGTGCAGCCAGTGCACCCCAATCGAAAACGCTATAAGATACACGCAGTCACACATACGAGTCAATTGTCGTACGACGAATTCGTCGCGATAAAGCGTTTAAATCTAATTCTAAGACGTTGTATGTTCGTGCAAATTACGTGTTTGGGAACTATTATTTTGTACGTTCGAGTTGCAAAGTTTTCATATCAAGCAAATGCTGTCACGACTTGATAGCTGAGACGTCATGTTACACTAAGAAATGGTAAAAAATATATCGATTCCGAAATTTTTGATCATTCTCAGCGTAGACTCCACTTCACAAACACGTATTACTGCGTATACTTTAATCCTGGAAAAGGATTTTCGAATCCGTGAAAAAGAAAAAGAGTTATACAAAAATTATACGTGTTTAATCGGTAATACATATATCTTTAGGATCCCCTTAAAAATATTATCACGTTCAAAATGTGTGACAGTTAATTTCATGTTACCACGAAGTCATCACTAAAATGTATCTAAGAGAACGAGAATAAAAAAAGAAAGTGTCTATTTCGCAAACGTCACGTATAGTATTTGTTGAATGAGAGCATGAATAAATTAATAGAGATTAATCAATAT